CATTGCACCAGTTGTGTGCCCCCTCTGCCCACAGATAAAGGTCCCCCGTGTAGCCTCTAGCAGGACTGCAGGGGCAAGTGCTGTCAGAAGCGAGTAGCAGCACCCTATAGACACACAGATAAAGGTCACCCGTGAAGCCTCGAACACGACTGCAGGGGCAAGTGCTGTCAGAAGCCAGTAGCAGTGTCTATAGACACACAGATAAAGGTCACCCGTGTAGCCTCTAACAGGACTGCAGGGGCAAGTGCTATCAGCGAACAGCACCCTATAGACCCACAGATAAAGGTCCCCCGTGAAGCCTCTAGCAGGACTGCAGGGGCAAGTGCTGTCAGCCAACAGCACCCTATAGACACACAGATAAAGGTCACCCGTGTAGCCTCTAGCAGGACTGCAGGGGCAAGTGCTGTCAGAAGCCAGTAGCACCCGAAAGACACAGATAAAGGTCCCCCGTGTAGCCTCTTACAGGACTGCAGGGGCAAGTGCCGTCAGCGAGCAGCACATACGAATGCCGGCACACTGTGGCACACGAAAGGTGCGTGGGTGGCTGGCCAGCTCCACGACACGCCCCCGGCCGCCTTTGTCTCCCCCCGTTGATTATTTAACAATTGTTTTTGCGCGCGCGTGACTTGACACATCCCACCCGCATGCAGCTAATCTCTGAGGCCGAGTTGATCTAAGGGGAAGGTGGTGGCGGGGTAGGTGGTGGTGGTGGTGGGGTAGGTGGTGGCGGTGGTGGGGCAGGTGGTGGCGGTGGTGGGGAAGGTGGTGGTGGTGGTGGGGAAGGTGGTGGTGGTGGTGGTGGGGAAGGTGATGGTGGTGGTGGTGGGGAAGGTGATGGTGGTGGTGGAGAAGGTGATGGTGGTGGTGGAGAAGGTGATGGTGGTGGTGGAGAAGGTGATGGTGGTGGTGGAGAAGGTGATGGTGGTGGTGGAGAAGGTGATGGTGGTGGTGGAGAAGGTGATGGTGGTGGTGGAGAAGGTGATGGTGGTGGTGGAGAAGGTGATGGTGGTGGTGGAGAAGGTGATGGTGGTGGTGGAGAAGGTGATGGTGGTGGTGGAGAAGGTGATGGTGGTGGTGGAGAAGGTGGTGGTGGTGGAGAAGGTGATGGTGGTGGTGGAGAAGGTGATGGTGGTGATGGTGGTGGAGAAGGTGATGGTGGTGGTGGGGCCGCTTACCCCCCCTACAACACCCGGGTCCAGGTCCGGTCGCCACTGGTTTCGAGGTGAGACCGCAGTGACTGACATTTTACTAAAAATAAATAATAACGACCCAATAAGCGCGCTAAGAAAACACTGCCGCCCACCCACCCCCTTCACTTTGAGAATCACTTTCAGCAGTTGCCTGTAAAAGCCCGAGAACGTAGCGAAAGCGATCGTAGGGCCGCAACAGCCTCGGGGAGCCAGGGGGGGGGGGCCTCGCCTGGATTCTCTGCCGCCTGAGAGACGTCGAGGTCGGTAGCCGTGGAGGATGTGGAGGGGGGGGGGCCTCGCCTAGATTCTCTGCCGCCTGAGAGACGTCGAGGTCGGTAGCCGTGGAGGATGTGGAGGGGGGGGGGGGGCTGGCCTAGATTCTCTACCGCCTTAGAGTCGCCGAGGTCGGTAGCCGTGGAGGATGTGGAGGGGGGGGGGCTCGCCTAGATTCTCTGCCGCGTGAGAGACGCCGAGGTCGGTAGCCGTGGAGGATGTGGAGGGGGGGGGGCCTCGCCTAGATTCTCTACCGCCTGAGAGACGCCGAGGTCGGTAGCCGTGGAGGATGTGGAGGGGGGGGGGGGCCTCGCCTAGATTCTCTGCCGCCTGAGAGACGCCGAGGTCGGTAGCCGTGGAGGATGTGAATGGGGGGGGGGGGGGGTGCCTCGCCTAGATTCTCTGCCGCCTGAGAGTCGCCGAGGTCGGTAGCCGTGGAGGATGTGGAGGGGGGGGGGGCCTCGCCTAGATTCTCTACCGCCTTAGAGTCGCCGAGGTCGGTAGCCGTGGAGGATGTGGAGGGGAGGGGGGCTCGCCTAGATTCTCTGCCGCCCGAGAGACGCCGAGGTCGGTAGCCGTGGAGGATGTGGAGGGGGGGGGGGGTCGGTGTCGGGGGTGACGTTTGACGTGAGGGGAAAAAATTGTCAGCGCGCGTGGGGAAGTGGTCGGGGGGTGACACCGAGGGGGTTTCGAGGGGGTCCGAGGGGCTGGGGGTTCGAAGAAGGGGGGGGGGGGGGTCGAGGAGCTGAGGGGGGCCGCTTACCGTGAGGGGAGCAGGCGAGCGGCGGACTGAGCCTTCCACAAAAATGGCTGCCGATTGTGGGGGGGGGGTGGAGGAATGGGGGAGGGGTGGGGGGAGGGGGTGGGGGGGAAGGGGAGGGGGTGGGGGGGAGGGGCTGTTGGCGGACGGATACCAGTGACGTCACCCGGCCGCACTTGCGGAGGGAACCGGTGTGGGAGGGGGTGGGGTTGTGGGGGGGAGGGGTGTGGGGGGAGGTGTAGGGGGGAGGGGTGTGGGGGTAGGGGTATGGGGGGGAAAGTGGGGGGGGGGGGAAGTGGGGGGGTGGGGGGGAGGGGCGTGGTGGGGGGCGCTGGAGGCGGACGGATACAAGTGACGTTACCACCGCCGCATTTGCGGAGGAGGGAACGGAGGGTGGGGGGGTGCGGCAGGTGGAGGAGGAGGAGGTAAAAAAAATAGCGACAAAACTAAAATAAATCCGCACACGAAAAAAAGAATTTCCAAAAAATATTGTAAAAAATATATTGATTAAAAAAAGATTCGTAATTTTTTTTTATAATAAAAAAATGCCGTGTAAAAACAACATTTTATTAGAAACAAAACGCAGTAATTTCTCACGAGGAAATCGCTCTTTTTTTCTCTTCTTGTCGCGGCGTCTCACTCGCGCGGCGGTGAGGAGGCGTCGGTTCCGCGTGGCAGGGGGTGGGGGGGAATGGGGGGGGTGTGGGGGGAGGGGTTGGGGGGAATGTGGGGGAGGGGAGGGGCCGTGGGGTGACGTCATTCGCCCCAGGTGCGTGACGTCATCCACCCCAGGTGCGTGACATCAACGCATGGAAGGTGCGTTGGCGGGGACGTCATCGCGTTGGGGAAGTGAGAGAGACATTACGTCATCGGCCAAGAGAAACAAGGAGTTTGACGTCACAGCTAAAGGGGGAGTTGGGGTGACGTCATCGCCAGACGGAAGAAATCCGATGGGCTGTAAAGCTCTTCTTGTCACAGACGTTCAGTAGGGGGCACGTGAAGAACCAGTGGCATCTACAGAACGTGAAGAACCAGTGGCATCTACATCTGCAGAACGTGAAGAACCAGTGGCATCTACATCTACAGAACGTGAAGAACCAGTGGCATCTACATCTACAGAACGTGAAGAACCAGTGGCATCTACAGAACGTGAAGAACCAGTGGCATCTACATCTGCAGAACGTGAAGAACCAGTGGCATCTACATCTACAGAACGTGAAGAACCAGTGGCATCTGTAGAACGTGAAGAACCAGTGGCATCTACATCTGCAGAACGTGAAGAACCAGTGGCATCTACATCTGCAGAACGTGAAGAACCAGTGGCATCTGTAGAACATGAAGAACCAGTGGCATCTACATCTGTAGAACGTGAAGAACCAGTGGCATCTACATCTACAGAACGTGAAGAACCAGTGGCATCTACAGAACGTGAAGAACCAGTGGCATCTACATCTGCAGAACGTGAAGGACCAGTGGCATCGACATCTGCAGAACGTGAAGAACCAGTGGCATCTACATCTACAGAACGTGAAGAACCAGTGGCATCGACATCTACAGAACGTGAAGGACCAGTGGCATCGACATCTGCAGAACGTGAAGAACCAGTGGCATCTGTAGAACGTGAAGAACCAGTGGCATCTACATCTGTAGAACGTGAAGAACCAGTGGCATCTACATCTGTAGAACGTGAAGAACCAGTGGCATCTACATCAACAGAACGTGAAGAACCAGTGGCATCTACATCTACAGAACGTGAAAAACCAGTGGCATCTACATCTGTAGAACGTGAAGAACCAGTGGCATCTACATCAACAGAACGTGGAGAACCAGTGGCATCTACATCTGTAGAACGTGAAGAACCAGTGGCATCTACATCTACAGAACGTGAAAAACCAGTGGCATCTACATCAACAGAACGTGAAGAACCAGTGGCATCTACAGAACGTGAAGAACCAGTGGCATCTACATCTGGAGAACGTGAAGAACCAGTGGCATCTACATCTACAGAACGTGAAGAACCAGTGGCATCTACATCTACAGAACGTGAAGAACCAGTGGCATCTACATCTACAGAACGTGAAGAACCAGTGGCATCTGCATCTGTAGCCACTGTGATGATGATGATGAGAGAGAGACGCAGACTCCACGTAGACCTCCTGCAGACCAGGCGAGGTAGTCAACATCTCCTAGCCACCGTGATGATGATGATGAGAGAGACGCAGACCCCACGTAGACCTCCTGTAGACCAGGCGAGGTGGTCAACATCTGGAAGAGCCCTGGCAGGTGACGTCACAGGGGTGTACCCCCCCCCCACCAACCCCCCCTCTCCAATCATTCCTTTCCGCCCACATTGAAATCCTCAAATCCCATTGGCTGTAGCAGCGAGAAAGTAGATGACGTCACGCGACTTCCGATCGCCGGCCCCTACCCAACATGGCTGCCAGAGACATCAACGCGACTTATCTCCCTACCAAACATGGCGGTCGGCACGTCACGTGACTTTGTTCTTTTCCTACCCAACATGGCTGCGAAGACGTCATGTGACTTCCCTCCCCAACATGGCTGCCAGAGAGTCACGTGACTATGTCGCCCCGACTCAACATGGCTACCAGAGCATCACGTGACTTGGTTTCCTCTCAACATGGCTGCCAAAGATGCCACGTGACTTTGTCCCCTTACCCAACATGGCTGCCAGAGAGTCACGTGACTGTGTCACCCCCCCCCTCTAATATGGCTGCTAACGACGTCACGTGACTTCCTCCACTTCCGCTCGTTGGTACAGTGTGGACACCGCACACGTGTGTGTACAGTGCAGAGAGACAGTAACAGACACACACAGAGACAGAGAGACACACACAGAGACACACACAGAGAGACATACAGAGACACAGAGAGACAGAGACACAGAGAGACAGAGACACACAGAGAGACAGAGACGCACACAGAGACACACAGAGAGAGACACAGATACACACAGAGACACACACAGAGAGACACACAGAGAGACACAGAGACACACACAGAGAGACACACAGAGAGACACAGAGACACACACAGAGAGACACACAGAGAGACACAGAGACACACACACAGAGAGACACACACACAGAGAAACACAGAGAGACACAGAGACACACAGAGACACACACAGAGACACAGAGACAGAGAGAGAGCGAGTGAGACGATGGGTAAAGACAAGAAGAAGAAGAGAAAGGCGGCGGCAGCAGGAGGAGGAGGGCAGAAGGCGATCGAGAAGAACGTCGCCAAGATGGAGAAGAAAGTGACCAAACACTCGCGTCGCGACGAGGTGAGCCGAGTGCCGTGAGCACCCCCCTGGGAGAGACACCCAGACCCAGGGATTGAACCCAGACTCTCAGTGTCTCTGGCTTAGTGAACCCCACTGAGAGAGAGAGACACCCAGACCCAGGGATTGAACCCAGACTCTCAGTGTCTCTGGCTTAGTGAACCCCACTGAGAGAGAGAGACACCCAGACCCAGGGATTGAACCCAGACTCTCAGTGTCTCTGGCTTAGTGAACCCCACTGGAGAGAGAGACACCCAGACCCAGGGATTGAACCCAGACTCTCAGTGTCTCTGGCTTAGTGAACCCCACTGAGAGAGAGAGACACCCAGACCCAGGGATTGAACCCAGACTCTCAGTGTCTCTGGCTTAGTGAACCCCACTGGAGAGAGACACCCAGACCCAGGGATTGAACCCAGACTCTCAGTGTCTCTGGCTTAGTGAACCCCACTGAGAGAGAGACACCCAGACCCAGGGATTGAACCCAGACTCTCAGTGTCTCTGGCTTAGTGAACCCCACTGGAGAGAGAGACACCCAGACCCAGGGATTGAACCCAGACTCTCAGTGTCTCTGGCTTAGTGAACCCCACTGAGAGAGAGACACCCAGACCCAGGGATTGAACCCAGACTCTCAGTGTCTCTGGCTTAGTGAACCCCACTGGGAGAGAGACACCCAGACCCAGGGATTGAACCCAGACTCTCAGTGTCTCTGGCTTAGTGAACCCCACTGAGAGAGAGACACCCAGACCCAGGGATTGAACCCAGACTCTCAGTGTCTCTGGCTTAGTGAACCCCACTGAGAGAGAGACACCCAGACCCAGGGATTGAACCCAGACTCTCAGTGTCTCTGGCTTAGTGAACCCCACTGGGAGAGAGACACCCAGACCCAGGGATTGAACCCAGACTCTCAGTGTCTCTGGCTTAGTGAACCCCACTGAGAGAGAGAGACACCCAGACCCAGGGATTGAACCCAGACTCTCAGTGTCTCTGGCTTAGTGAACCCCACTGGGAGAGAGACACCCAGACCCAGGGATTGAACCCAGACTCTCAGTGTCTCTGGCTTAGTGAACCCCACTGGGAGAGAGACACCCAGACCCAGGGATTGAACCCAGACTCTCAGTGTCTCTGGCTTAGTGAACCCCACTGGAGAGAGAGACACCCAGACCCAGGGATTGAACCCAGACTCTCAGTGTCTCTGGCTTAGTGAACCCCACTGGAGAGAGAGACACCCAGACCCAGGGATTGAACCCAGACTCTCAGTGTCTCTGGCTTAGTGAACCCCACTGGAGAGAGAGACACCCAGACCCAGGGATTGAACCCAGACTCTCAGTGTCTCTGGCTTAGTGAACCCCACTGAGAGAGAGAGACACCCAGACCCAGGGATTGAACCCAGACTCTCAGTGTCTCTGGCTTAGTGAACCCCACTGAGAAGAGAGACACCCAGACCCAGGGATTGAACCCAGACTCTCAGTGTCTCTGGCTTAGTGAACCCCACTGAGAGAGAGACACCCAGACCCAGGGATTGAACCCAGACTCTCAGTGTCTCTGGCTTAGTGAACCCCACTGAGAGAGAGACACCCAGACCCAGGGATTGAACCCAGACTCTCAGTGTCTCTGGCTTAGTGAACCCCACTGGGAGAGAGACACCCAGACCCAGGGATTGAACCCAGACTCTCAGTGTCTCTGTCTTAGTGAACCCCACTGGGAGAGAGACACCCAGACCCAGGGGTTGAACCCAGACTCTCAGTGTCTCTGGCTTAGTGAACCCCACTGAGAGAGAGAGACACCCAGACCCAGGGATTGAACCCAGACTCTCAGTGTCTCTGGCTTAGTGAACCCCACTGAGAAAGAGAGACACCCAGACCCAGGGATTGAACCCAGACTCTCAGTGTCTCTGGCTTAGTGAACCCCACTGAGAGAGAGACACCCAGACCCAGGGATTGAACCCAGACTCTCAGTGTCTCTGGCTTAGTGAACCCCCCTGAGAGAGAGAGAGACACCCAGACCCAGGGATTGAACCCAGACTCTCAGTGTCTCTGGCTTAGTGAACCCCACTGGGAGAGAGACACCCAGACCCAGGGATTGAACCCAGACTCTCAGTGACTCCCCTCGGTCGACTCAGCCTCAAATGAGTACCTGGTGCTGTGTGTAGTAAGCATCGCCACTGGGGAGACAAAGGCGGCCGGGCGTGGTGCTGGCCACCCACCCCCTCGTGTGCCACAGTGCCGGTAGCCTTCACAGGTGCGGCTTGCTACCAACAGCACTTGCCCCTACACCCTGCTGGAGGCTACACGGGGGACCTTTGCCTGTGTCTGCAGGAGGACTTGGAGGCGCTGATTTCAGAGCTGCGTGCTCTGGATGCCAAGAAGACGCAGGTGGTGGACAACCCGTGCCCTCCTCCATCTCCCAGGTGAGACACAGGTGGTGGACAACCCGTGCCCTCCACCCTCTCCCAGGTGAGACACAGGTGGTGGACAACCCGTGCCCTCCTCCATCTCCCAGGTGAGACACAGGTGGTGGACAACCCGTGCCCTCCACCCTCTCCCAGGTGAGACACAGGTGGTGGACAACCCGTGCCCTCCTCCATCTCCCAGGTGAGACTCAGGTGGTGGACAACCCGTGCCCTCCACCCTCTCCCAGGTGAGACACAGGTGGTGGACAACCCGTGCCCTCCACCCTCTCCCAGGTGAGACGCAGGTGGTGGACAACCCGTGCCCTCCTCCATCTCCCAGGTGAGACACAGGTGGTGGACAACCCGTGCCCTCCTCCATCTCCCCGGTGAGACACAGGTGGTGGACAACCCGTGGGTGTGAGTGTTGTTGGTGAGTGTTGTGGGTGAGTGTTGTGGTGAGTGTTGTGGTGAGTGTTGTTGGTGAGTGTTGTGTGTGAGTGTTGTGGTGAGTGTTGTTGGTGAGTGTTGTGGGTGAGTGTTGTGGGTGTTGTTGGTGAGTGTTGTTGGTGTTGTTGGTGAGTGTTGTTGGTGAGTGTTGTGGGTGTTGTTGGTGAGTGTGGGTTTGAGTGTTGTTGGTGTTGTTGGTGAGTGTTGTTGGTGAGTGTTGTGGGTGTTGTTGGTGAGTGTGGGTTTGAGTGTTGTTGGTGTTGTTGGTGAGTGTTGTTGGTGAGTGTGGGTGCGAGTGTTGTGGTGAGTGTGGGTGTTGATTGACTGCCTGTTGTCCACCGTGGGGTGGACGACTGCCTGTTGTCCACCTGTGCAGAGTGAACGCCTCGCTGGTCGCCCACCCCGAGCGTGAGGAGCTGCTCCTCTTCGGAGGGGAGTACTTCAACGGGCAGAAGGTGCCCTGTGTACTGTACTGTGTGTACTGTACACTGTGTGTACTGTGTGTGTACTGTGTGTGTGTACTGTGTGTGTACTCTGTGTGTGTACTCTGTGTGTACTCTGTGTGTACTCTGTGTGTACTGTGTGTGTACTCTGTGTGTACTGTGTGTGTACTGTGTGTGTACTGTGTGTGTACTGTGTGTGCTGTGTGTACTGTGTGTGGTGTGTGTACAGTGTGTGTGTACTGTGTGTGTACTGTGTGTGTACTGTGTGTGTACTGTGTGTGTACTCTGTGTGTACTGTGTGTGTACTGTGTGTGTACTGTGTGTGTACTGTGTGTGTGTACTGTGTGTGTACTGTGTGTGTACTCTGTGTGTACTGTGTGTGTACTGTGTGTGTGTACTGTGTGTGCTGTGTGTACTGTGTGTGTACTGTGTGTGTACTGTGTGTGTGTCTCACTGCGTGTACTCTGCGTGTGTCTCTCTGCGTGTACTCTGCGTGTGTCTCTCTGCGTGTGCTCTGCTTGTGTCTCTCTGCGTGTGCTCTGCGTGTGCACTGCGTGTGCTCTGCTTGTACTCTGCGTGTGCTCTGCGTGTGCTCTGCGTGTGCTCTGCGTGTGCACTGCGTGTGCTCTGCGTGTGCTCTGCGTGTGCACTGCGTGTGCTCTGCTTGTGCTCTGCGTGTGCTCTGCGTGTGCTCTGCGTGTCACTGCGTGTGTCTCTCTGCGTGTGCTCTGCGTGTCACTGCGTGTGCTCTGCTTGTACTCTGCGTGTGCTCTGCGTGTACTCTGCGTGTCACTGCGTGTGTCTCTCTGCGTGTGCTCTGCGTGTGCTCTGCGTGTGCTCTGCGTGTACTCTGCGTGTGCTCTGCGTGTACCTTGCGTGTGCACTGCGTGTGCTCTGCGTGTGCTCTGCGTGTGCTCTGCGTGTGCTCTGCGTGTGCTGTGCGTGTACTCCCCAGACGTTCCTCTACAACGACCTGTTTGTCTACAACATCCGCAAGAACTGCTGGAGTCACGTGCACATCCCCAACCCGCCACCTCGGCGCTGCGCTCACCAGGTGAGCGCCTCCAGCCCGTCAGTGTTGTTGTTGTGGTTGTGGTGGTTGTCTTTGTTGTTGTCGTGGTTGTTGTCGTGGTTGTTGTTGTTGTGGTTGTTGTCGTGGTTGTTGTTGTCGTCGTGGTTGTTGTCGTTGTGGTTGTTGTTGTTGTTGTCGTCGTGGTTGTGGTTGTTGTCGTTGTTGTGGTTGTTGTTGTTGTGGTTGTTGTCGTTGTTGTGGTTGTCGTTGTTGTTGTGATTGTTGTTGTCATTGTTGTTGTGATTGTTGTTGTCGTTGTTGTGATTGTTGTCGTTGTTGTTGTGATTGTTATCGTTGTTGTTGTGGTTGTTGTTGTCGTGTATGTTGTGGTTGTTGTCATTGTGGTCGTTGTGTCGTTGTGGCCGTTGTTGTTGTTGTTGTCGTCGTTGTTGTTGTCGTCGTTGTCGTTTTTGTCGTCATTGTTGTTGTGGTTGTTGTCATTGTTGTTGTCGTCGTTGTTGTGGTTGTTGTGATTGTTGTTGTGGTTGTTGTGGTTGTTGTTGTTGTCCAGGCGGTGGTGGTGCCGCAGGGTGGTGGGCAGATGTGGGTGTTTGGGGGCGAGTTTGCCTCTCCTGACGGAGAGCGCTTCTATCACTACCGCGACCTCTGGGTCCTGCACCTGGCACAGCGACGCTGGGAGGAGATCCGGTGAGTGGACTCACGCTCACCCACACGCTCACCCACACGCTCACCCACACGCTCACTCACACGCTCACTCACACGCTCACTCACACGCTCACCCACTCACACGCTCACCCACACGCTCACCCACTCACCCACACGCTCACCCACTTGCTCACCCACTCACTCACCCTCAGGCTCACCCACACGCTCACCCACCCACACACTCACCCACTCACTCACCCACTCACACGCTCACTCACTCACCTACTCACCCACACACTCACCCACTCACTCACCCACTCACACGCTCACTCACCCACACGCTCACTCACCCACATGCTCACCCACTCACCCACACACTCACCCACCCACTCACCCACCCGCTTACCCACTCACTCACTCACTCACCCACCCACTCACTCACCCACTCACTCACTCACTCACCCACCCACCCACTCACTCACTCACCCACTCACCCACTCACTCACCCACTCACCCACCCACTCACCCACCCGCTCACCCACCCACTCACCCATCCACTCACCCACCCACTCACCCACTCATCGACCCACCCACCCACTCACCCACTCACCCACTCACTCACTCACCCACCCACCCACCCACCCACCCACTCACTCACCCACTCACTCACCCACTCACCCACCCACCCACTCACCCACTCACCCACCCACCCACCCACTCACTCACCCACCCACTCACCCACCCACCCACCCACCCACCCACTCACCCACCCACCCACCCACTCACTCACTCACTCACCCACCCACTCACCCACCCACCTACCCACCCACTCACCCACCCACTCACCCACTCACCCACTCACTCACTCACCCACCCACTCACCCACTCATCCACCCACCCACCCACTCACTCACCCACTCACCCACTCACCCACCCGCTCACCCACCCACTCACCCACCCACTCACCCACCCACTCACTCACCCACTCACCCACTCACCCACCCACTCACCCACTCACCCACCCACCCACTCACCCGCTCACTCACCCACCCACCCACCCGCTCACCCACCCACTCACCCACTGCTCCCCTCAGGGCTCCTGGAGGGCCTTCCAAGCGGAGTGGCCACCGCATGGCGGCCTTCAAGCGTCAGCTCGTCGTGTTCGGGGGATTCCACGAATCGTCGCGGTGAGAGGGGCGGGGGGCAACACGTGTGTGTGTGTACACGTGTGTGTGTGTACAACTGTGTGTGTGTGTACTACACGTGTGTGTGTGTGCTACACGTGTGTGTGTGTGCAGGGACTACGTGTACTATAACGACGTCTTCATCTTCGACTTGGACTCGCTGACCTGGCTGCGCCCGCACGTCTCGGGCACCCCGCCGTGCCCCCGCTCTGCCTGCCAGATGTGGCCCACGCCGCCAATGCCCACGCCACCACCACCACCCACCATCGTCGTCATCGTCATCATCGTCATCCAGCAGCGGAGCAGCAGCCGCCAACACGCCTGGCCTGCTTGTCTACGGGGGGTACAGCAAGATGGTGGGTGGTGGGGGGTGGGGGGGGTGGGGGTGGGGGGGTACAGCAAGATGGTGGGTGGTGGGGGGTGGGGGGGTACAGCAAGATGGTGGGTGGTGGGGGGTGGGGGGGTGGAGGGGTACAGCAAGATGGTGGGTGGTGGGGGGGTGGAGGGGTACAGCAAGATGGGGGGTGGGTGGTGGGGGGGGGTGGGGGTGGGGGGGTACAGCAAGATGGTGGGTGGTGGGGTGGTGGGGGGTGGGGGGGTACAGCAAGATGGTGGGTGGTGGGGAGTGGGGGGTGGGGGGGGTACAGCAAGATGGTGGGTGGTGGGGGGTGGGGGGGGTGGGGGTGGGGGGGTACAGCAAGATGGTGGGTGGTGGGGGGTGGGGGGGTACAGCAAGATGGTGGGTGGTGGGGGGTGGGGGGTGGAGGGGTACAGCAAGATGGGGGGTGGGTGGTGGGGGGGGTGGGGGTGGGGGGGTACAGCAAGATGGTGGGTGGGGGGTGGGGGGGTACAGCAAGATGGTGGGTGGTGGGGGGTGGGGGGGTGGGGGGGGTACAGCAAGATGGTGGGTGGTGGGGGGTGGGGGGGTACAGCAAGATGGTGGGTGGGGGGTGGGTGGTGGGGGGGTATAGCAAGATGGTGGGTGGGGGTGGGGGGTGGGGGGGGTACAGCAAGATGGTGGGTGGTGGGTGGAGGGTGGGGGGGGTACAGCAAGATGGTGGGTGGTGGGGGGTGGGGGGGTACAGCAAGATGGTGGGTGGGGGGTGGGTGGTGGGGGGTGGGGGGGGTGGGGGGGTACAGCAAGATGGGGGGTGGTGGGTGGAGGGTGGGGGGGTACAGCAAGATGGTGGGTGGGGGGTGGGGGTGGGGGGGTACAGCAAGATGGTGGGTGGGGGGTGGGGGTGGGGGGGTACAGCAAGATGGTGGGTGGTGGGTGGGGTGTGGGGGGGTACAGCAAGATGGTGGGTGGGGGGTGGGGGTGGGGGGGTACAGCAAGATGGGGGGTGAGGGTACAGTGAGGTGGGGGACGTGGGGCGTGGGGTCCGGGAGATGTCGCCACCCGTTTAGACCACCACCACTGCCATCGCCACCACCAACACCACAACCACCACAACCACCACCGTCACCGCCAACCCCATCGCCACCACCACCGTCGCCACCGCCATCAACACCACAACCACCGCTGCCACCACCGTTACCACCGCCGCCATCGCCACCACCACCGGACTGTGCGCGTCACGTCAACAACAATCGCCCCGATGGGCAACTTGTCACCGGCAGGTCCGGCTCCCGCGTGTGTGTGTGTGTCACTGTGTGTGTGTGTCACTGTGTGTGTGTGTCACTGTGTGTGTGTGTCACTGTGTGTGTGTGTCACTGTGTGTGTGACTGTGTGTGTGTGTCACTGTGTGTGTGTGTCACTGTGTGTGTGTGTCACTGTGTGTGTGTGTCACTGTGTGTGTGTGTCACTGTGTGTGTGACTGTGTGTGTGTGTCACTGTGTGTGTGTGTCACTGTGTGTGTGTGTCACTGTGTGTGTGTGTCACTGTGTGTGTGTGTCACTGTGTGTGTGACTGTGTGTGTGTGTGACTGTGTGTGTGTGTCACTGTGTGTGTGACTGTGTGTGTGTGTCACTGTGTGTGTGTCACTGTGTGTGTGACTGTGTGTGTGTGTCACTGTGTGTGTGTGTCACTGTGTGTGTGACTGTGTGTGTGTGTGACTGTGTGTGTGTGTCACTGTGTGTGTGACTGTGTGTGTGTGTCACTGTGTGTGTGACTGTGTGTGTGTGTCACTGTGTGTGTGTCACTGTGTGTGTGACTGTGTGTGTGTGTCACTGTGTGTGTGTCACTGTGTGTGTGTGTCACTGTGTGTGTGACTGTGTGTGTGTGTCACTGTGTGTGTGACTGTGTGTGTCACTGTGTGTATACACTGCTGTGTGTGTATACACTGTGTGTGACTGTGTATACACTGTGTGTGTGTGTATACACTGTGTGTGTGTGTGTATACACTGCTGTGTGTGTGTGTGTACACTGCTGTGTGTGTGTATACACTGTGTGTGTGTCACTGTGTGTGTGTCACTGTGTGTGTGTGTGTGTCTACACTGTGTCACTGTGTGTATACACTGTGTGTGTGTATATACACTGTGTGTGTGTGTCACTGTGTGTGACTGTGTGTGTGTGTAGAGAGTGAAGCGTGATGTGGACAAGGGCGTGGCGCACACAGACATGTTCCTGCTGAGCCCTGACACCAAGGAAGGTGCTGGCACCGCAGTGACGCACACACATGCACATACACACACGCACACGCACACAGACACACGCACACACACACGCACACACACACACGCACACACACACGCACACACACACACAGACACGCACACACACACAGACACGCACACACACGCACGCGTACACACGCACACACACACAGACACACGCACACGCGTACACACACATGCACACACGCACACACACACGCACACATACACACACACACACGCACACACACACACACACGTATACACATGCACGCACACATACACACACACGCACATACACACACACATGCACACACGCACACACACACGCACACATACACACACACACGCACACACACACGTACACACATGCACACACACACGTACACACATGCACGCACACATACACACACACGCACATACACGCACGCACACACACACGCACACATACACACGCACACACACACACACGAGGCGGTGACACGCACACACACGCACGCACACTCACGCACACGTACACTCACGCACACATACACACGCACACACACACGCACACACACACACGAGGCGGTGACACGCACACACACACACACGATGCGTGACTATAACCAAACTCCCTTTCCTTACCCATGATCCTTTGCTGCTGCTGCCCCCTTCCATAAACAAACTCCCCTTCCTTACCCATGATCCTTTGCTGCTGCCGCCCCCCCCCCAAACAAACTCCCCATCCTTACCCATGATCCTTTGCCACCCCCCCCCATAACCAAACTTCCCTTCCTTACCCATGATGCTTTGCTGCTGCCGCCCCCCCCCAAACAAACTCCCCATCCTTACCCATGATCCTTTGCCACCCCCCCCATAACCAAACTTCCCTTCCTTACCCATGATGCTTTGCTGCTGCCGCCCCCCCCCAAACAAACTCCCCATCCTTACCCATGATCCTTTGCCACCCCCCCCATAACCAAACTTCCCTTCCTTACCCATGATGCTTTGCTGCTGCCGCCCCCCCCCAAACAAACTCCCCATCCTTACCCATGATCCTTTGCCACCCCCCCCATAACCAAACTACCCTTCCTTACCCATGATCCTTTGCTGCTGCTGCCCCCCCCCAAACAAACTCCCCATCCTTACCCATGATCCTTTGCCACCCCCCCCATAACCAAACTACCCTTCCTTACCCATGATCCTTTGCTGCTGCCGCCCCCCCCCATAAACAAACTCCCCATCCTTACCCATGATCCTTTGCTGCTGCCGCCCCCCCCCATAAACAAACTCCCCTTCCTTACCCATGATCCTTTGCCCCGCCTCAGGCTGGTGGCGCTGGTCCCGCGTGAGCACCCTGGGCTCCCGTCCCAGCGCCCGCTCCGGCTTTGCGGTGGCTCCGGGCGGCCCCGGCGGGCGGGCGCTGCTGTTTGGGGGCGTCCGGGACGACGAGGAGGGCGGCGACGAGCGGCTGGAGGGAGAGTTCCACGCGGATCTCCACGCCTACGACCACGCGCGGCGCCGCTGGAGCCGCGTGCACCTCGCCGGGCGCGGTGGTGGTGGTGGCGGCGGTGGTGGTGGTGGTGGCGGTGGTGCCCGGCGCCAGCGGAGACGGAAAGGTGGTGCGGACGCTGGGCGGGACGGTGAGAGAGGAGGTGGTGGTGGTGGTGGTGGGGGAGATGGTGGAGGAGGATGAAGAGGGAGCAGGAGGAGGTGGTGGTGGTTGTTGTGGTGGTGGTGGAGGTGGTGGTGGTTGTTGTGGTGGTGGTGGAGGTGGTGGTGGAGGAAGTGGTGGTGGAGGTGGTGTTGGAGGTGGTGGAGGATGAGGAGGGAGGAGGAGGAGGTAGTGGTGACGGTGGAGGAGGTGGTGGTGGTGGTTGTTGTGGAGGTGGAGGAGGAAGTGGTGATTGTTGTTGTTGTGGCTGAGTAGAGGGTGACGAGCGTGACGACGACGACGATGAGGAGGAGGCTCGTGAGGAGGTGGTGGTGGTGGTGGTTTTTGTTGTTTTGGAGTTAGTGGTGGAGGAGGTGGTGGAGGTTGTTGTTGTTGTTGTTGTGACTGAGTAGAGGGTGACGACGACGACGATGACGACGATGAGGAGGAGGAGGTGGTGGAGGTGGTGGTGGTTGTTGTTGTTGTGGTTGTTGTTGTTGTGACTGAGTAGAGGGTGATGACGATGAGGAGGAGGTGGTGGAAGTGGTGGTTGTTGTTATTGTTGTGGCTGAGTAGAGGGTGACGACGACGATGAAGACAACGAGGACGAGGAGGAGGAGGAGGAGGCTCGTGAGGAGGTGGTGGAGGTTGTTGTTGTTGTTGTGACTGAGTAGAGGGTGACGATGAAGACAACGACGACGATGATGATGAGGAGGAGGAGGTGGAGGAGGTGGTGGAGGTGGTTTGCAGCGACGGCACCGTCACCACGGTGCGCCAGACGGTGGGCGGGGGCAGCTCGCGACCCCGCGACCCCTCCCAGCGACCCCGCGACCCCTCCCAGCGACCCCGCGACCCCTCCCAGCGACCCCGCGACCCCTCCCAGCAGCCCCGCGGCAGCAGCGGCGACGACGACGACGACGAGGGGGCGGCAGCAGCAAAGGATGATGGGAAAGGTGACGCCCTCTCTCTCTCTGTCGCAGCAGTGCATGCTGGGATTGTTCAGGCTGCTGCGTGCGATTGGTTGACTGGTGAGGCTGCGTGTGATTGGTTGACTGGTGAGGCTGTGTGTGATTGGTTGACTGGTGAGGCTGCGTGTGATTGGTTGACTGGTGAGGCTGCGTGTGATTGGTTGACTGGTGAGGCTGCGTGTGATTGGTTGACTGGTGAGGCTGTGTGTGATTGGTTGACTGGTGAGGCTGCGTGTGATTGGTTGACTGGTGAGGCTGTGTGTGATTGGTTGACTGGTGAGGCTGCGTGTGATTGGTTGACTGGTGAGGCTGTGTGTGATTGGTTGACTGGTGAGGCTGTGTGTGATTGGTTGACTGGTGAGGCTGCGTGTGATTGGTTGACTGGTGAGGCTGTGTGTGATTGGTTGACTGGTGAGGCTGCGTGTGATTGGTTGACTGGTGAGGCTGTGTGTGATTGGTTGACTGGTGGGACTGCGTGTGATTGGTGGACTGGTGAGGCTGTGTGTGATTGGTGGACTGGTGAGGCTGTGTGTGATTGGTTGACTGGTGAGGCTGTGTGTGATTGGTGGACTGGTGAGGCTGTGTGTGATTGGTGGACTGGTGAGGCTGTGTGTGATTGGTTGACTGGTGGGACTGCGTGTGATTGGTGGACTGGTGAGGCTGTGTGTGATTGGTTGACTGGTGAGGCTGTGTGTGATTGGTGGACTGGTGAGGCTGTGTGTGATTGGTTGACTGGTGAGGCTGTGTGTGATTGGTGGACTGGTGAGGCTGTGTGTGATTGGTGGACTGGTGGGACTGCGTGTGATTGGTGGACTGGTGAGGCTGCGTGTGATTGGTTGACTGGTGAGGCTGCGTGTGATTGGTGGACTGGTGGGACTGCGTGTGATTGGTGGACTGGTGAGGCTGCGTGTGATTGGTTGACTGGTGAGGCTGTGTGTGATTGGTTGACTGGTGGGACTGCGTGTGATTGGTGGACTGGTGAGGCTGTGTGTGATTGGTTGACTGGTGAGGCTGTGTGTGATTGGTTGACTGGTGGGACTGCGTGTGATTGGTGGACTGGTGAGGCTGTGTGTGATTGGTGGACTGGTGAGGCTGTGTGTGATTGGTTGACTGGTGGGACTGCGTGTGATTGGTTGACTGGTGAGGCTGTGTGTGATTGGTTGACTGGTGAGGCTGCGTGTGATTGGTTGACTGGTGAGGCTGCGTGTGATTGGTTCACCTGGTAAGGCTGCGTGTGATTGGTTGACTGGTGGGGCTGCGTGTGATTGGTTGACAGGAGTGGTGGCAGCGGTGGTGGCCATGGTGGCTGTGGTGGTTGTTGTTGTTGCAGGTCGTGGCGCTGGTGATAGTGGTGATTGTTGTTGTGGTGGTTGTTGTTGTTGTGGTTGTTGTTGTGGTTGTTGCAGGTGGTGGTGGCGAGTGGCCGTGTGCCCGCATGAACGCCATGATGGTGGTGCGCCAGGCGGTGCTGTTAGTGGTTGTGGTTGTTGTTGTTGTGGTTGTTGTTGTTGTGGTTGTTGTTGTTGTGGTTGTTGTTGTGGTTGTTGCAGGTGGTGGTGGCGAGTGGCCGTGCCCGCGCATGAACGCCATGCTGGTGGTGCGCCAGGCGGTGGTGATAGTTGTTGTGGTTGTTGTGGTTGTTGTTGTGGTTGTTGCAGGTGGTGGTGGCGAGTGGCCGTGTGCCCGCATGAACGCCATGATGGTGGTGCGCCAGGCGGTGCTGTTCCTACTGGGCGGCGCCTACGAAGCCGGAGCCCGTCAGGTGACGCTGGGAGACATGCACAAGCTGGAGCTGCACACGCTCACCACGTGGTCTACGCTCACCCACATGGACCCTGGTGAGTGGCACACACTCACACACACACTCACTCACTCACACACACACTCACTCACACACACACACAGTCACACACTCACTCACACACACACACAGTCACACACTCACACACACACAGTCACACACTCACCACCACACTCACACACACACACAGTCACACACACACACACAGTCACACACACACACACAGTCACACACACTCACACACAGTCAGGTGACGCTGGGAGACATGCACAAGCTGGAGCTGCACACGCTCACCACGTGGTCTACGCTGACACACATGGACCCTGGTGAGTCACACACACTCACACACACTCACACACACACTCACTCACACACACACTCACTCACTCACACACTCACACACACACACAGTCACACACTCACACACACACAGTCACACACTCACTCACACACTCACTCACACACACAGTCACACACACACACACAGTCACACACAGTCAGGTGACGCTGGGAGACATGCACAAGCTGGA